CCAAGTAAAGTTATTAAAATTCTGGAAACTTCCCTCCCTCCAGCTCAAGTTCAGGTCTTATCAGCTGCCCTGAGAGCTGCACAGCTTGACTCCGCGCACGCGTCCGAGGGCAGAGACGAGGGGCCCGCGTCGCTGTCTGCCACCCCCGTTCTGGACGCGCCGGCCGAGGCCAGGATGGTACAGAGCACAGTGAGTGTCTGCGGCCCCTCCGCCCCGAGGAGTGACAGAAATCACACAACCCGCCCGAGAGCACGCTTTATTAACATATCCCGGCAGAGATGATAAATGGCAAGTTTAATTTTATTCTTAAGGTCATGTTTTGGATAACTAGACAACCAGTCAATCAGGTGATTGATAACCCTGATTCTCTTCCACAAAAATAAGGGTGCAGAGACCAAAAAGTGGCTTCCCTCTCCGCCTGAGATGACAGGAACCGGCCCCCGGTGGGGTGGAGGTGGGGGGGACTGTGTGGACCAGTAGTTCTCAACCTTCCTAATGCTGCGACCATTCAGTACAGTTCCTCATGTTGCAGTAACCCCCCGGACCATACAATTATTTTGTTGCTACCTCAATGTTGCTACTGTTATGAATCGGGCAACCCCTGTGAAAGGTCCCTTCCACACACACCCCAAAGGGGTCATGACCCACAGGTTGAGAACCGCTGGTGTGGACACTGCCTCCCACCCCTCGGGCTTGCCCGTGTCTTCGTGGCGGGGCTGAGGCCGCGCCATCTGGGTGGAGAGGTGGAAGCAGACAGCAGGCTCCCAGCGGCCTAACCCGCCTGGCCCACTCCCAGGCCCCTTCCCCTGGGCTGCCTGGCTCGAGAGCGAGTGAGAATCAGTCACTTTTTAGACCCTGGCATCCTCGCCCCGTGCCACGCGCTGCTGAGACTCTTCAAACGCTGGATCTCCACGCCGACTGGCTGCCAGGGTTTGCTTCTCGGGATTGGACTGACTCCTCACCCGTCCAGCCCTTCCCTCCTCGCCTGCTCCAGTAAAGCCAGTAACAGTCGTTAAGAAGCGAGAGTGCGCAGAGGTGCTCTCAGACCAGTCAGAAGTAGGGCGGCATCCCGTGTGCTTGCTTGTGTTTCACACGTGAGGCAAGAATCCTCCTGTTGTCCTTGGAACCCAGACTTGAGGACACCCCAAGTGCAATCAAAAGGCATGCGTGGCCACATTTGCCTTGGGAGGGCCGTGGCACCTCCGTGGGCTTCTCTTTCATCGACACAGGCTTGGAGCGGGAGCAGGGTCCTCACAGCCTCGCTCGAGTCCCTGCCTTAAAGCCCAGTTGAGCTCGGTGTTGGGGTGCAGCAGCCTGGCTCCTGAACTGGCCTGTTTGCCACGGGGGCTCTTCCATGCACAGAAGAAGGGGCACGAAACAGAAGAACGGGCGGGGGCGAAATACCCCCTCAGCTAGGAAGACAGGAGGGAGGGGGGCCTGCAGGCCCAGAGCCAGTCGGCCACATGCTGACCCTCCGGTGCCTTGACTTTGCCTCTGCCACTTCACGTGGACGTGAAAATGCCCAGTGGCAGGACAGGGAAACCTGGCCAGAAACACCCTCCAGGCTCCCGGCCCCAGCGCCCTGTAGCTGGAGTTCCAGCCTGGCAGGCTGGGTGGGAAGCATGCCCGTGGAGAGGGGGGAGTGTGAGCTGCTTCCAGAACTGCGATTGGGCCCGAGAGGGGAGCGGGGCAGTGAGGATGGGCCCTGTGATCTGGGCTCTGCGGGAAAAGGGACTCACAAGCCCTTTGGGGCTGCCTTAGCCCTAGTGGCTTTCTCATGCCTGAATTCGGTTCCAGCCAACTTAAGTGTTGTACACCCCAGTTACACTGAAGACTTGGAAATAAAGTGAGCTCCTCAAAGGAGAAAACAGAGTCCAGTGGCACAGCTCGTTAGTACACTTGCGTTTATTAACAAGGAGGGATTGAGATCTTGGTGATCAGATCAGCATCTTTCCATTTGACCACGTGCACTGTGGAAACAGACCATGCGGTTCCGTTGAAGTCCTTGGGAATTGAAGGCTCTGGTAGCATGCCTCCAAGCAGGCGAAGCATCTATCGGGGTATTCATCGACTTTCCCGGATCATATATTGAGCTGATGTGTCAGAACCCATTAAGCTGGTAGACAGTATGACATTTCAAGTGCAAGTCGGAAATCCATGCTATGGTTGAAGGAGAAGGTCAGGTCTCTCTCAGTTAATGTTAATCAATGATCAGAGACCAATATGTCACTGTTGAATATTCCCACCCGTTTTAATTGTTAACCTAATAGAAAGACTCATCAGCAAACATCGGGTGTGTTTGCACACGTGTGTGCATTTTCCAGGTGCACACCACCTCACCAGTCAACCCTTTTGCTCTCGAATGAAGAGGACTCCTCCCTGCCAGGCCCTCTCACCCTGGCCCCGTGCAGGGGCTGGTGGTCCCTGCCGGTGATCGGCAAAGACCGGAGGTGCTCACGCCACGGCCTCAGCCAGCCGCCTGCTCCCTCGTGGGGTTGTCTGGCTCCCCGGGACTGTGACTTGAGGGCCCTGGGGACCAGGCTGCGTCCTGGCCGTTAGAGAAAATGGTTGTCCCTCGCCACCCATCCCCATTGTGGCTTTGCAAGAGCCTCGGGCAGTCTTGGAGTCAGAATGTAGGGGGTCTGTTTTCCTGGGCGCCTGCAGTGACTGGTCTGCGCAGTGTGGCTTCCCGCTGCACAAGTAGGTGCTTCAGTATCTGGGGAGAGACCAGGGACACCAGCGAGGCCCTGGCCCCACGATTGTGAAGTTCTGGGAGGGGGCACCCTTGGGCAGAAGTTGGAGACGTGCCCAATCAATCGTCTCTGCAGGAGCCAGATGAAGAGCTGGATGGGACCGGCGGCCCTTTGCAGACCAAGCTGAGGCCTGATGCAAAGCCCTCTGAGGAGAACAGATCCAAACTGCAGGTTTGTGAAAACCTTGTGCTCATTCCTGGAGAGACAGAGCAGCACGGCTCAAAGCAGGTTTAAGGAAGGCCATTGGAACCAGTGTGTTTTCTCCCATCAACGGGAACTTCGTATCTTTGTTTATATGCACAGTGCTACTAACGTTACCTCCACAACTTCAGAAAACAGGTAGCTCTGAAGTGTGTGTTTCTAGGCTTCTGAACAATTCAACAGGCAAACCGAATATGACGAAGCCATTTGCTATCTACCCGTTCATACTCGGGGCCCATGGATGCAAGTTACTTCCCCTGTTTAGTCTGAAACGTTTTGACCGCTTCCTATGTGGAAGCCGGGGCCTTGCTCTGTGCAGTGAGCGGGTTCTGGTGCCGTGCACATCCCCTCGGTGGCCTTGTGGCTGTGGGGCGACATCGGTGGGAGGCATTTGGGAAGATCGAGCCCCATCTCTCAGGAAGCTGTGGCAATGACTCCGGGCAGGGTCTTGGGCCGTCCGTTCCTGAGACAGAGGTGGGAAAAGCAAAGAGTATCTCCTTCCCCGAGAGCGGTGGGCCCTGGAGCGGCCAGCACAGCGGTGCCCCCCAGCTGTGGTGTGCTGCTCGGTGCTAGAGAGCCTGTGTGCTCACGCACAGGGAGCCTCCGCCCCAGTGGAAACCAGGCAGCAAGGGCCGCAGCCTGAGTCCTGGGTGTGTCTCCACTGGGTGGGCTTCACCTCCAGGCGTCAAGGCTCTTGTGTTTCAAGACCAGTCCCCAGCCTCTCCCCTCCTGTGGTCTTGCTCTCTTCCCCATTGCCCAGGACATCATCCCTCAGCCCCTGCTGGACCAGTATGTGTCCATGACCGACCCGGCGCGGGCCCAGACAGTGGACACGGACATAGCCAAGCACTGTGCCTACAGCCTCCCTGGCGTGGCACTCACCCTGGGCCGGCAGAATTGGCACTGCCTGAAGGACACTTATGAGACGCTGGCTTCAGACGTACAGGTACAGCCACCTGCTGGGCCGTGCTTCCAGAGGTGGGGCTGCGGGAAAGGGGCGGGTAGCCGCCCGGGCTCACTGCCCGGGACTTTGCATGGATGTGGACCAGACAGTCTCAGGTACAGCCACTAGCTGCCCGTCTGCATTGAGCCCCAGAAGTGCAGTTTACGGTCTCTGCCACAATGACCTCTGCATGGTTTCTGTGGCTGTCCATCTGTCTGTCTGTGCAGTGGAAGGTGCGCCGGACACTGGCCTTCTCCATTCACGAGCTGGCAGTGATCCTTGGTGACCAGCTCACAGCAGCCGACTTGGTGCCTGTCTTCAACGGGTTCCTGAAGGACCTGGACGAAGTGCGCATCGGGGTCCTTAAGCACCTGTACGACTTCCTAAAGGTAAGCGGGAGGAGGGTGGGGACAAACACAGGCCGCTCCTCCCCCTTCCCAGATACGTCAGGTGTGGTAGAAACAGCAGGCTGCGGCTCCCTGTTTTCAGGGCAGTGCCCCACCCACCCACCCTCCGTCCTCCTGTGGGAAGGGACTCAGAGTTTTATGTTCTTTAGTTCTCGGGAGGATGCTACACCAATGAGGGGCCTTCAGAAAGCTCAGGGAACCTTCCATCCCTTTTGTCCACAACTGTGTGAAGCCACCTGGTGAAACCAGAGGAGCTGGAGGCCTGGCTTGGTGACGTGCCGTGACATGCTAGGGTCCCTGAGGAAGAACTCTAGTCTCAGTTCCATGCAAAGGGCATTGCTGCTGCCTCTCTTCTCCTCCCCAGCAGCACCCCACCCCAACTCCCCATCTGCACCACCCAGAGCAGCACCCGATGGACTCTGCCCCCTCCCCTCACTCCCCATCAGGGCTCCTGAGCCCCCCTTGAGTTGGTTTTGTCAGAGGGCCTTAGGGAAGGAGGGAGCCTGGGCACCTAGAACACCAGGCCCAGCGTGCGGGGTGAAGGCCAGAAGCATGCAGATGAGCTGAGCTTGTGGACATGGCAGAAGCCTGCCAGTGACTGGGTACCACAGAAGGAGGACTGGCGTGCAGGCCTCTTGAGGGAGGGCACACGCTTATCCAGCCACCTGCTTTCTGCAGTTGCTTCCTGCAGACAAGAGGAGAGAATATCTTTATCAGCTGCAAGAATTTGTGGTGACGGACAACAGCAGGAACTGGCGGTTTCGGTACGAGCTGGCAGAGTAAGTCGTGGCCATCTGGGGCCAGGAGGAGTCAAATGAGCACGTAGAGTGCCCCCTTACCCCCCACCCCCTGCCCCTCACTCCCCCAGCCTTCCCGCTGCAGACTAGACAGTAGTGTTCTTTTGGATGAAGCGATATATTATGCTCCGAAGAAGGCGAAGCTGAATTCCAGAGCTCCACGTTACAAATGCCACAGTCTCCAGGGAGACTCGTCTTCAGATGAGGCAGGCAGGGCGCACGTCACTGGCGAGCCAGAGAGTTCTGCTGTTCTAAAAGACAATTTATTTCAACCGAATAAAGGATGAGTCACCTGCTCTTTGGTATTTTCCTATGAATCAAAGCAGTGTGGGTCAAAGCTTTCCTGAATGTTCTGAGATGCCGCCCCCTCTCAAGGGTACAGAGCTAAAGAAAGCCCCCCCACGCTCCCCAGGCACAGGAAGCGCTCTGACCCACCAGGCTCAGACAGTGGTGATATTGAAAAAGCCCCCCCAAGGGCCGCCTCTCTGGACCTCACTGGGTGTGTGAAGGAGTGATTTGATTACAGCCTGTCCCAGTAAAGGGGCTTTTGTTTGTCTGATTTGGTTTTTCTGTTTGCCTCTTCACTGCCTCCGCGAGTGTGAAGACACCCCTTGGCTAGCCCTCCCTCCTGGTCACGTGCCCTGCCGGCCAGCTAGCCATGTGGGATGCGAGCCCCGGCCCCTCCCCAGAGCGCATTCCCCCATCTGCAGCTGGACACCCTTGGGAGCGAAAGCCCCTCTCACAGACGTCAGTCGGGGTGCTGCCTCTCCTCAGGGCCAAACAGAATGTTTCTCTCGGCCGTGCCCCGTAGTCACTGTGCTTAATCTGAGAGATTGCAGTCCTGATGCTGTGTCCCCAGCTCAGGCTTCTAGAAGCTCAGAGAAAAACAGGTTAGGTCCCGTGCTTTTTTTGTTGTTGTTTTGCATGAAAGCATCGCGACCTCTGGTGGCAGCGTGCGGGAGCGCAGGCGACTGGCCGCTCTGCGCCCCCTGGCTTCCAGGGCGGCCGGGAACAGCTTCCATCTGCCTTATCTCCCAGCAAGGCCTATCTCCCATCTCAGCCGCCCGCGGTTATTGAAGCCAAAGCTGATGATATGAACTCCTTGTTCCCGGGCCCACGATATTGGCGTCGTTTTTTTCTGAAAACAGTGCTCTCTGATAGGAGTGCACCCACCGCTCCACGGTTCTAGAAGCCGCTTTCATTTCTAGTGGCTTTTTCATTTCCTCTCGTTGCGGTGTGGAAATCAGGCCATTTATCGTCCACCCCTGCTCCCCCAGCCCCATTTAGAGAACAGCCAACCGCTGTGGAGGTAAGCTGCCCCCACCAGCTGTCTCACTGGAGTATGGGGGGAGTTGGATGTTTTGTTTTTTTTCCCCGCTTTCGGAGGAAAGAGTAGATGTAACAATGCCCACCCCCCCACCCCCCCAGTTCCCAGTTCCAGGCCTGAGCAGGCATGCTGGTGGGAGACATTTCATCTGCAGTTTCAGCAACACTGAAAGGGCTGGGAAAGAATCCTCATCTGATGCCCCCTCTCCTGCCCCCCAACCCGCCGGCCTCTGGGAACTTTAGCTTCCTCGCTATTTTTAGGTTATCTGATCCCACAGAGTGTTTTCCCAGGTGATAACCTACCCCTGAAATGTGAACTCCATCCATTTCATACATTTCTCAGGCCCTCTTGTGCAAAGTCAAATGGTTTGCCTTTTGTTTGATTTTAGTATGTGTGCTGCAGAAGGGATGAGGGGGTGGGGTGTGTGTGTGAGATTTCCGGTCTCCCCATTTGCAGGCATGAACAAGTCCATTCTGTTGCCCATGCCGGGCTGTAGCAATGGGCTCCCACCCAGCAATGCAAGCCTGGCAGTGGTTTGTTCTGGGCTGTGTGGGGTCACTGTAGGTCCAAACAGA